CCCCGCGAGGGTGGGTGGTGAGGGAGCGGGCTCACAGCCGGCCTACCCTGTGTGGGTGGGCGCGGGATGTCCTCCGTCCTGCCCCTTGTCTGTGCCCGGGGAGTGGAGGCCTGGAGATCCAGTCAGGAAGAAACTGTCCCTGACACCCGAATAACAAGGCCAGTATGAACGCAGAGTCCACACCCATGCCATCAAGTCTCGCGGGGTCATGCTCTTTCCTCTGCATCCTCACTGATCCCTGCTCCCATCACCACCCCACACCAAGTAGGTGTCACCCGTGTGTCAGAAGCCAGCAACAGAGGGTTTGGCAGCAAACAGGACCACTCCTAACCCCCACGGTGCCTGGCGCAGTTAACAGTGGTGCACAGATCTGGGGAGAGCCCCAAGCCCACCTCTACTTGATGTCAGCCAAGTTGCAATGTCAGGGGGTCACTGTGTTCATTTTCTTTTTAAATTCAGGTTACGGTGTCTACATATACCCAAATTCCTTCTTCCAATATGAAGGAGAATGGAAAGGAGGAAAGAAACACGGTAAGAAACCTCGGTGGTCCCTCCCACTGCTGCCACCTGGAAGCTGACAAAGCTGATTTTCTCTGGGAGCTGGGGGTGCAGTGGGGCTGCACTGAACAGGACCTGCTCTGTACCTGCCCAGTGCTGCCATCCTGCTCCGGACTTGGCCTGGTGACACCATGAGGCCATTTTCCGGAGCCTCTTGAGGTCCCTGCACCCTGAGGTACCCCAGAGACTGGCAGGGCTTGGCAGGGCTGGGCAGGGCCAGCAGATCCAGGGAGACACTCCTACCCTGCATGCCACATTCCACCATCTTTGGGCACCTGCAGAAGAGGAAGCTGCAACTTGGAAATCCTCCCTAGAGTTTCAGTTTGCTCTTCTTTTCCAGAGTGGAAATTGGCTTTATGCTTTATTTCTGATTAAAAGAGATGACCTACTTCTGTAGAAAATTCAATCAGTAGAGGAAAGGAAGTGTAAAGTAAAATCCCCTGCAATACCCTCAGCTCACACATTCACGTACACCAGGCTTGGTCTCGTACCACACAGCTGCAGGCCAGCATCCCAACTCCCAGCACCCCAGAACACATGTCAGGCAAGCATGGAGAATGTTCCAGGGTCTGGACCTCTGTCATCTGTGCTTACAAGACTTTTTCTGTTTGTGGTTTCTGCCTGCTCAGTGGCTTCTACCCATTTACCCCTAGAAGGTTGGGCTTTTTTTTGTTTTAACCTGTTGACTGCTAGTATTTCCTGTGTTTTACCTTTTGGTTTTTTATTCAGTGTTTTTGCCATACAGACACTTTCTATTTTTGTCAAGATAGCAAGGATTCTCTTCCTCCAGGTGGACACTTAGGCTCATGTGCATGGCTGTTATCAGAGACTCCTTGATGGGTGCCTGCTTTTTAGGCTGTGTCCTCCCAGTGATCCCCTGTGCGTGTCTAGAGTTGTGTCCGCTTCCCTCTGAGGAGGTGGGGAGCAGGGTCACATCTGCACTGTCTGTGCCTCTGTGGCCATTCTGACCAAGAGAGCGGTGTGCTTGGGAATATTTTATAGCTGTTCTCAGGAGTCTTTAGATAAATGTGGAGTACACATGTGAGTTTGTCAAGAACGCGTATCAGACAAGCAGTGGAGCCAACACTAAGTCTTTGAGAAAGCACGGTGTGTGTGGGCTGGTCAGCCGCCACTCCCACCCACTGTGTGACTTCACTGTGCACAATGACCTCTCCTCCCAGGTCGCGGGAAGTTGCTGTTTAAAGATGGGAGTTATTACGAAGGCGACTTTGTGGACGGAGAGATCACTGGGCAAGGCTGCCAACACTGGGCCTGTTCAGGTGGGTGCTGGAGGTGGTGAATGGGCACTTGACCCCTTTCTCAGCGCCATCTCAGGGAGGCTGGTCCCCTGCTGTGACACAGAAGATACTGTGTGTAAATGAAGGTTCCTCAGGTTCACCTGTTGTGAGGGGCAGCAGTGTGCAGGCTGGGGTGCATTGCATGGTGCTACACATCTTGTATGGCCCTTAGGTCTGGCAACGGGTGCCCTGGGGATCCCTACAGGGGCCTCTAGACTCAGCTCTATAAGCACCTCCAGCTTCTCGGTAGCACTTTGTCAGAATAAAGTGATATCATCCCAAACTTGGAATTATCTTATTCTTTAAAGATATTTCAGGGGCTGGGGATTTAGCTCAGTGGTTCCACCTCCCGTCTCACAAGAGCAAGGTCCCAAGTTTGATCCCTGGTACCCAAACAAAAAGATATTTCACCACCTCCTGTGCCCAGATGGGAAACCTGCTCTGTGACACCCATGCCAGTGGTTGGGGCATCTTTGAGTCTCAGACCCTTATGAGCAAAGAGTGGTTGGTGCTCATGGGAGCTTCTCTTGCATTCGGCTCCCAGCTGCCTTTTAAAGGCCCACGGAGGACAAGCATAGTGGTACCTCCCTGTAATCCCAGCTCCTCAGGCAGCTAAGGAAGTGATGGGCAAGCTCCAGGCCATCCGGAAAAGTTTGTGAGACCCTTTCTTAATAAAAGAAAAGGACTGAGGACATAGTTTAGTGGCAGAGCAGTCTGTCCAGTATGTGCAAGGCCATGAGTTCCATTCCCAGTACCACACACAAGGCCTGGGAACAAAGCCACCCCATACTGTGTTTCCCAGGTGCCCTCAGGAAGGGCCCCCTAGGTCAGTCTGCAGGTCTAACTGGGCAGGGAGGACCAGGCCATGTCTCGGTATTTCTCCTGACTACACTGTGAGTGAGATAAAGAGACAGGTGTCTACCCATTGGTCAGGGGATGGAGGGGACCCTGGATATAACAATAACCTCTTCCTCCTCCTCATTTGTATGCAGGAAACACCTACTCTGGACAGTTTGTTTTGGGAGAGCCTCAGGGACATGGCATCATTACGTACAGAGCTGGGGGCCGTTACGAAGGAGAGCTCTGCTGTGGCCTCAGAGAAGGTCTGGCATCCACGGGGCTCACGGGCCAGTGCTGGGAGAGCCTAGTGTCCTCTCACATCTGGGAACCATTGCCCAGCTGTTGCACTTCAGAGGCTGGAAAAGGAGGTGTTGGGGCGGGCTCATACCCTCTCTCTGTCCCCAGACCATGCATTTTCAGCTCAGGCCCCGGGCTCTGCACCTGGGGAGCCCATCCTGTCACATCCTGTGATACATCTACCTGCTGCTGCGTGGTGAGCCACCCACCACTTAGGGATTCAGACAGCCACCACTGCGTTATTTGCTCCTGATCCTGGGGTTGCCAGGCTGTCCTGGGTCTGCTGGGTGGGTCTCCTGACCTCACAGGACACTGCTTCTCTGGCTACACCATGGCTTGGCCACCTGACCCTCTCTGGGTTCTGATGGCCATAAAGATATCAGGAGACAGATGCAAGAGGCGCCTGTCCCTTCATGACAGCCAGGGGCAGAAAGACCAGCTGCAGCTTAGAGAAGGGTCGAGCATGTTACACCTCAAAGAGAGAGGCAGCTTCTTTTCCTTCCCCAAGGTTTGCTTGTGTCGGGAAGTAGAAACACCCTCAAATGTCTGAACTGTCCAAAATCTGCAGTAGCATACTCCTAGTCATGCTCTCCTGTTTTCCCTCTGGCCTTTGAGTCCTAGTTCGGTGAGTGGGTAGCTTGCAGTAAAGTGAGGTTGCTCATAAATCAAGAAACAGTCATACAGTAGCTAACCTGTCACCCTGTGAAGTCCCCTGGGTGGCATTTACCATCTCAGAGATTGGGCCTGGGGGCCCTGAATGAGCCCCCCACTCAGAGTCTCTGCCAGCTAGACTGAGCCACTGGCGTCTGCCCCCAGGCTGACCCAGGTGGTGGCTGTCTTCACCTTCCTGGCCACACCTGCCTCTCCTGTCCAGGCGGTATTAGAGGGGCAGCCCAGTTCCTAAGGATTCCCTGAGTGCCAGTCCTGACCACCCCTCTGCCAGTGTGGGACCCAAGGGCTGCAGAGAGAGTACCTCCTAGGGCAGGACATCAGGGTCACCACTGGCAGGAGCCGTGAAGTTCAGCTGGCATCTTTGGTCCTTCCCTAGGTCAGGGCATCCTGGTGGACCCAGATGGACAGGTGTACCAGGGGTCCTTTCATGACAACAAGAGGCATGGCTGGGGGCAGATGCTCTTTAAGTGAGTATGTGGCTGCGGGGCATGAATCCTGGGGTGCCTTCAGCAGGGAGGGGGGCATGTCCCGCCGTCCACACTGCAATCTCTTCCCTGTGGGTAGAACCCAGGGCCACCCACACTGGTCAGTCCTCCATCCCTGAGCCACCCCAGGCTCTCTTGACACTGCTCATTCAGTAGGAAGAGTCCTCTCCCAGGTAAGGTGTCTGGAGGGAAGCTTGGGTCAGCAGGAAGGGGAGCCAGGGACCCATGTGGCAAAGCTGGAGGACCCCTGGGCCAGCACAAGCCCCTCCAGGTAGGGCTGGAAGTGCTAAGCCATGTGGCTCCTCGCCAGCACTGCCCTGGAAACACACAGCCACAAGCCCAGCTCCTCCACCTCCTTCACTGCTTCCATGACAAGCAGCTGCCACTGAGTGTCTGGGTAGGCAGACGCGTGCCCCCTCTCCCTGCCCTCCCAGATGCCCTGGCATGCCAGCAGCTCTCAGGCTATCTGTTCAGGGCTTATTTTTGCCTCGGACTCTGAGGTAGAGCTGGTCTTAGTCCCGGCTCCTGCCTGAGACCCCTCTACTGTGCCCTCAGGAATGGTGACAAGTACGAAGGCGACTGGATCCGGGACGGGCGCCAGGGACACGGGGTGCTACGCTGTGCTGATGGCTCTACATATGAGGTGCCCCTTCCCCCAGATGTGAGGCTCTGCAGTGGGTGGGAGCTCCAAGGGGCATTTGAAGGAGCTGCCCTGGCAGCCAGAGTCCCTGGGCTGACAGGCGCAGGGCACTGTCAGCCCCAACTCCACAGGGTGACTCCCCCCAGCTGTCCTGGTCTTGGTTGGGATGATCCTGACCAGAAGTCAGGTTAGTGTGAATTCTATGCATCTGCTCTGCCCTGCTGCACACAGGATATCTCACAGAGGGAAGCCTGGGGCCTGGCTCAGGCTGGAATCTCTCGACCTGAGCTACAGGAGGGACAAGGCATTGTAGGGCTCCAGGGGCTGGAGGAAGGGGCTGAGGTGAGCCACCTCCTCCCCTACATATACCTGGGCCCCTGACTGCTCAGAGAGACACTGTGGAGTGGGCCCTGTGTGAGCAAGTATTTCCCTTACCACAGGCAGTGGCTGCTGTCTACAGAGCTGGTCTGCAGGATCTGTGTGCCAGAGAGGCCAACTGGGACTGGGACAGTAATCCTGGCCCCTATGGGTAGGGACTGTGATTGTTCCCACATCGTCCATTAGGAAACTGGAGGGAAAAGAGTGTGACAGGGCCAGGCACAGTGGTGGCACACACCTGTAATCCCAGCTACTTGAGAGGCTGAGGCAAGAGGATTACAAGTTCAAGGACAGCATGGGCAATTTAGCAGGTCTCTATATTAAAATAAAAAGGGTTGGGTGACTTCCCAGAAGATGGTGGAGTGGTGAACAGCAGAGAAATAGCCTCTCCAAGATTTGGTGTCCAGGCACTGGAATATAGCAATGTGAGAAGAAGAAGGGAAGTGGGTGCCTGGGACCGAGTAAGGATTAAAACAAGAATTGAAGCCCATGGGGAGAGTAAAAAGAGAGACTTCAACCCTCAAGAAGGAGGTGGCAAGTAGTGCTTTCTCCTTGTCCCCCAACTCACTGTGGGGAGGGGTAGTTTGAACCTATAAACACGTGGTGACTACAGGCGACTCCAAAGGCCTCCATGGAGAAATGTACCAGTGGAATGGAGCAATGGACACAGCAATCTACAAGTGACAAGTTATTTGAGTTCAGACATCCCCCAAGAGAGGTCATTTGGCTGGTAGCCATATTGGAAAGGGGCCAACTGAGCTCAGAACTCAGAGCAGGTGCAGGCTGGCTGCATCTAGTGGCTCCTAGTGTCTGGATGAGGTGGAACCAATTTCAAGTTGGCAGGAGGTCAAGGAGCCAAGTTCAAGCTGGCAGAAGGCACATAGAGTATTGCAGGCTGAACAAATTAGGTTCCAGCCTCATACCCAAAAACCATCCTGAACGTCAATGGAAGTAAAGATTCAAGTTTGCTGGAATTATCCAGTATCCCACCATAAATCTATGGCTGGCTTGCTGGGATTAGTCAACACAGATCTGGGCTCTGTCTGACTACTTTGTCTACCAGTGACAGCAGAGGCACACCCTGGAGTGGACATTTCTTTTCATTTGCTTTTCTTTTCTCATAATCTTCCTTTGTCTTCAGCCTTTTAATCTCTTCCTCTTCTATTTCTCTATTTTTTTCTCCCTAACCCCCTTTTAAATTTTCTCCCCTGAGGGTAAAATCACTATATTAAGGGCATATTTACTGAATTTTCTAGGTTTTTTTAGATTTTTTTATATGACCCTTAATATAGTTCATATGGTTAAAGGTGGCAAATTAATAGTTACAACAGTTTCTCATTCTGTAGGCTGTGCTTGATACTGTTGTTATTCCTGGTGTACTACTTTAGCCAAGGTGACATAATTGTTCAAATCATTTCTTCTTCCTGTTACGTCAAAACTGAGATTGCCTAAGGGTCATAAACGATACCAAAGGCCAGTGCCAAAGAACCAGGGGCTAGATCAAATAAGCAGCAACTTCTCATAATAAAATGAAGAGGTAGAATCTTGCAGCAGACTCAAAACCCAAAAGCCAGGTATGCCTGGAAGACATCTCTGAGAAGTAGTCATTTCCTAAGGGTTCTCAATACTAGCAATAAATTTACCTGCCATAATAAGCATAGGAAATAAACCAAAAACAAAAGATGAGAAGACACTTAAAGCAAGATTCAACCCCAGACTTCCAACTCACCAAAGGCAAACCTAGGAAACAATGAGGTATAATATTTTGAAAGTCATTCATCTAATTCTCTGAAGTGGTAACCATGCAAGTAACAGAACAGATGAATGAGGCTTGTGAAAAAGAATCAAATCAGAAATAATTTCTCAGATAACTGTAACAAAAAGCCTAGTTAGTGACTCTAGAGCAGATACAAATAAAAAAATAGAGGAGCCTAGGAAAATAATGGAAATCATGAATACTCAACATAGGAAAGAAATGGAATCCAGGAAACAGATTCAGATAGATATCCAGGAGATTAAAAATTCCACTGAATGTATATGCAATAGAATGAACCAATGTGATGACAGAATATCAGATATAGAAGACAAGATTGTGCCTAGCAATCTTGAAAAGAAAATTTCTTTAAAATAGCAAGGAACCACAAAGAAATCAATCTGACAGCTGCTAGGTGATGTAAAGAAGAATAACACAGGATTGATAGGAGTCAATGAGAAAGCAGGGGATAGTGAAAACAGCATTTGCAACCTATACACAAAAGTAAAGGCAGAAAACCCAAGCAGAGAAAAAGAATTTGACATACAGATAGGTGAAGCATGTAGAATGTCTATTAACCATGATCAAAAAAAATTTGCATGAAGGTAGTGCTCTAGAGTCCAGAAATTCAACACAACAGAATATTAAAAGCTGTTAAAGAAAAAAAAATGGGTCACCTATAAAGGAAAGCCCATCAGAATCACAGCAGACTTTTCAATACAAACTCTCAAATCAAGGAATACTTGGAGTGAAATATGTTAAGTCCTAAAAGAAAACAATCTCCAACCCAGATTGATGTACCCTGCAAAACTATCTTTCAAAATTGATAGAAAAATAAGATACTTTTATGACAGAGAACACCTGAAGAAATTCATGACCACCAAACCAGCACTCCAAACTGTTCTGAGGACATTCTAGAAAGATAATGAGGGCCCCAGGGATTTAGCTCAGTGGTTCTGTCACCTGCCTCACAAACACAAGGTCCCGAGTTTGATCCCTGGTACCAATAATAATAATAATAATAATAATAATAATAATAAGGGCTACAACTCCATGAATCTCAACAGAATGAATCTACCAGACAAGGCAAGAAATTAAACAGATGGGGGAAAAGGGAACCAACAACAGAAAAATGACGAGGATAAGTCAGTACATATTGGTTATAACTATCAATGTAAAGGATCTTATTTCACCAATCACAAGAAACAGACTGACAGAATGGATCAAGATGCAAGATCCAGCACTATGCTGCATACAAGAAGCACATTTAATTCATAAATTCACAGGCTGAAAGTCAAATGATAGAAAACAACACTCCATGTGACAGGAACCTGGAAAAAAAAAGCAGAGGGTAGCTGTTCTATTTGTAGACAAAGTAGATTTCAAGCCAAGTCTAATTAAAGAGAGACAAAGTCACTACAACCTTGTAAAGGGAATAATCCAAGAGGAAGAGATAACAATCATAAATATATGTGTACCAAGTAGCAGTGCACCTAACTAAACAAAACATTAACAGACATGAAAAATCAAATGAGCATTAATATACTTATAATGGGGGGCCTCAATACCTTACTGTCACAAAATAGACAAAAAATGCACAAAGAAATATCAGAACTGAACCAAACTTTTGAACAAATAGACTTAATATATGTGTACAGAATGTTCTACCCCACAAAAATCAGAATACATACTTTTTCTCAGCTGCACATGGAATGTTCTTTAAAATAGACCACATACTAGCTCATAGAACAAGCTGAAATAAATGCAAAGGAATTAAAATTATCCCATGTATATTATCAGACCAGTGCAATGAAATTGAAAATCAGTAGCAAAAGAAACCACAGAAACTCCATAAACACATGGAAATTAAATAATACCTTCCGGAACAAACAATGGGTCATGCATAAAATTAAAGAGGAAACTAGACAGTGCCTACAATTAAACAGTAATGCCAATACAACATACCAGAATTTATGGGACACCGTGAAAGCAGTCCGACAAGGAAAATTTATAGCAGTGAATTCCCATATCAGAAAAATAGCCAGCTCAAAAAAAACAAACTATTGTTGAACCTCAAGCATCTAGAAAAAGCAAGTCAAGCCCAAAGCTCATATGACCAAGGAAATTATAAAGATCAGAGCAGAAAGTAATGTAATGGAGACTAAGAAAACAATACAAAGAATCAATGAATCAAAAAGTTGGTTATTTGAAAGATTAATAAAATTGACAAACCCTTAGCCAACCTTGTCCAAAAAAAAAGGAAAAAGGCTCAAATCCATGCAATTAGGAATGAAAAGGATGAAACCACAACAGATCCAACAGAGATCCAGAAGATCAATACCTACTTTGAAAACCTGTATTATAATAAAATGGAAAACACAAAAGAAATGACAGATTCCTAGATACATATGAATTACCAAGCTGAATCAAGAGATTATAAAAATTGTAAATGAACCAATATCAGTAAATGAAATTGAAGATGTAATGGAAAATCTACCAACAAAGAAAAGCCCAGGCAGTCCCTGACGGATTCACTGCTGAATTCTACAAGAAACTTAGAGAAAACCTAATGCTACTACTTCTTAAACTCTTTAATGAAATTGAAAGGGAAGCATTACTCCCAGATTCATTCCTGGAAGCAAGCATTACCTGATACTGAAATCAGAGAAGAATCCAACCAAAAGGGATAATTACAGGCCAATCTCCCTAATGAGCATAGAGGCAAAAAATACTCAATAAGTTACTAGCAAACAGAATGAAGCAAGTCATCAAGAAGATTATACATCATCACCAAATAGGATTCATCCAAGGGATGCAGGGATGGTTCAGCATACACAAATTAATAAATACACTATATTAATAGAGCCAAGGA